CAAGTATACTTCATCACAACAAGCGCAGATGATTCATCAAACAGCACCGCCAGTGTATCCAATACAGGCTACAAGTATGCAGCCATAAAATCAAAATAATAATCAACCAAATCAGGTCAGTCAGCCAAGTGCCAGCCGAAGGCGCAACCTCCTCTTCAATGTGCAATTATGATAACTTCGTTCCAATCCCCCAAGTGAGCAGTGGCAAACAAGGAAATACTGATCCTATCCAAAACCCAAATCAATCCAAAAAGTACTTACCAACTCTGATATTAATTATGGATTTTCTATTAAGAATAGATTCAGCAGTCTAGATAACCTTCCTGATGACGTTTTTGCAAACGCCACCGACCCCGCTATAAATGAAAAAATTAGAATCACTTCCATCCACATAAATAATAATATTAACAATATTGAACTAAACCAGGAAATTAAAACCCAAATTAGTGTGCAATTTAACGTAATTTATACCAATAATAAAGCGAAAGTTAACTTTCAAAATGTGGAAGACTTCAAAAAAGCAATTCAGTGTTTCGTAAAAATTGAAAAAATTTCATACGTGTAAGCACCCAACCAACAAAAAATTTTCCGTGGTTTTTCAGAAACATTCATACCTTCATCACGTAATAGGAAATAGATAACGAACTGAATAGAACAATTTTCCTCCCTTAATAGTGTCACCAGGTTACACAACGGTAATCAGCCCATCCCAGTGGTAGCAGCAGGATTCTCAGGTCAACAATCAATTGAATTAATTCTCCAGACGAGTCAAATTTGCAATCTGAATAATTCAATGCCTTCGTTGTCTAGACTTTCGACATACTAAAAATAACTTATAAATAAATATCTTGTATACATTGTGCTGAGAATCTTTACTCTGCAAATTGCCCTAGCAAGAACAATCATCCGAAATGTAGAAATTGCGAAGTGATGCACCGAGCAGATATCCGTACTGACGAATGTCAATATTTTAGAAAATTATCGGAAAATAAAACTAGAATGTACCAAAAATCTTCTGCAAACATGAAAAATATATCAACCCCGCCCCTACCCTCAGCCCCACCCCTGCCTCAAAGCACCCACCATTTCCCTAGACTTCATAGAATCGCTAACATACCAAATTTTACCCAGTAATCGACAATAAATCGCCCACCAAATAATATCTCACCTTATTTCCCAACTCACAATCGACAAAATAGTCTCCCCGAAAACAACCTTCTGAAAACTCATTATATAATTGATAATATATCTATAAAAGAACTCATAATGAACATCACAAATTCAGTCATTCCAACTTCTATTGAAAACATACAAAGAATTACTTCTCGTTTTAGTTCTCCCAATGGCACAAAATAATTCAATCATTAATGAATCCTAATAAACTGGAACGCATGTGGCATCACCCATAAAAAAACTAACTCCATTTCTATCTCCAAACAATTTTGACATTGCATGCATTACAGAATCACATTTAAAACCTCCAGAAACCTTCAAACTACCAGGTTACAACTTGGTAAGAATGGACAGGACCAACTCTCCAGACGGTGGAGGCATCAGACTCATCAAAAACACTATCGTCTATTTCAATGAAAATTCAATACCCACCACTGCCATCGAAACAATAGTTTCAATTACCAACACCAACCCGAATTTTACTGTCAATGCCACTTATAAAACCTCCAACATAAAAACAAATTTTACATATCTAAACATTTTACTTTCGCGCTTACCTCTTACGTTCTTTTAGGAGAGCTAAATGCTAAACTTGTACACTGGAGGTTCAGAGTCACCAATGCAGCTGCAGATGAACTAAAATATATAAAAAAATTAAATTGATTTCACCTCCAGAACCAACCTATTTTCTAATCGACCTATTTATACGAGATTTCATAGCTCTTGAGCTACAGAGAGCATACAGTGAAGAAAAAATACGATACATAGCAGTTTACAGAAGAACATAAGCAGTAAAATATAGCCATTGTAGTTAGAAATACGATAGATCTCATTTAAAAGTGGGCAAATTATTTCACGGCTTGGGTCATTGCATTAGGGCACTCAGGCATTCAATCTATGGCCGCGTCGACCCCGCTCCGCCTTCTCTTCCCCAAAGCTGCCTGCTCCCCACTACTCGCACTATGTCAGCTCTCTCGGGCACACGGCTGGCTGCTAAGGGCAGAATACCCGCGGGAGCAGGCGTTGTGCAGCCCTGCACTAGGTACAACAGATTAAATACAATTCGTGTCTACTGTGTTTTTGTAAAGATCGTAGGTATAACATTAATATACCATATTGATAAATTAGTTTCACCGTTCATTAAACGTTCATTCGATTTGTTCATCGATCAAGCAGATAACTATCTTCATCTGGTGCTGTGTCAATTCACAAATTCAGCTTGGCCCATCGTCAGTGATTATTCTTGCGAAGAACAGACAATGCTCATTACCTGGAGAAACGCGAGTTTGGCGGGCAATTGCGTGATACTTGGTCGGTGAGACAGGTTTGTCCAGACGATGAACAGAAATGGCAGCTGAGCATCTTTCGACAACTTGCAGCATGGTATTTAACTTGTGCAGATGAACGGCGGGATCTCCTCATTTTTTGTAACAAAAACTCTCCGGGTTTTTGAAGGTTCAAAGCAAAGTTTTTACAAGAAAGAACGAAATGCCTTCTTTGGAAATAGGATATTTCTTTTAAATGCAAACCTATAGGTTCAATGTACAAAGGATATTGCTTTAATTTTCAACTTTTTGGAGTCACCGACCACCTAGCATTCCATTGCTGTTTAAATAAATGACACAACTTCAATTTTCTCTGCAAATAACCGCCAAAAATCAATAGATGAACTATATCTACATTTTCGTCCATTACTCTATGAAATGCGAAAGTGTTGTCATCAGAGTAGTATTTGTCGTTAAGAAAAATAAACCATATTAAAACATTTTATATGAAGTGTCCTTTTCCATAATAGAAATATGGTAACCCTATTCCTGAGGATGATTAAAAGGAATAACATTGTTGGCAACCTCGACAAGTTGATGAGGTTCATTCACAATTTCTTGCTTTTCAGCTTCAGGAAATGAAAGTTCTTGTTAGCTTTGCTCGAGCATACGTAATCTAGTTTACATTAAATCCAATTTAGGCTCAGTAGCATCAACTCTCGTTTTAATGGCAGACAAAGCATTATCCAGCATCTGTGAGAACATTTCACGCATTTGGTCGAGTATGTTGCGATGCGATTCATCTACCATGCCCCCGATTACAAAATTATTATCCGGAGGGGGGAGGGCTGCTTAGTTGACAAATCGACACATTGACATATACCATACAACGATAAAAAATGCCGTTGGGCATGTTTTATCGCAGCTTTGTGGGCAAGTTTTAGCTTTTTTATCGCAGCTCAGGTGGATGTCAGACAAAACTGTTTTCGGCGCCATAGATGACAGGTTAGCTTTGCAGACACGACATTAGGGAGGTGTAGTACTATTTTACACTACAATTTTTCCAAGCGTTGCAGCTGTTAGTAACGAGAAAAATGCGCTCTAACGTTGGAAGTACAAAATTAACATCGTAATAATTTAATGCAAAACAAAAAGTGAGAGCAATTATTGGACGTAGGATTGTGGTCTTCTTCACCATCGTTTAAAAATTTCTTTAAGTATTAAGATTGTCAGTTCTGGCAATACTACAGGGTTTATATATCGGCCACATCGCTGGGCTTGGTATATAAACACATGATCAGTTAGAAGTTAAACAAACCAACGTTATCTTAAATGAACGAGTAAGCAATCACGAGTAAGCTGTGTTGCAAGCAATCAGAGCTATACAGTTACATTCATGTAAGATCAAAGAGAATTAATCATACTGATCTACCTCGTTTTTGCGCAATGAAATACGTTCGGCTGCATTGCATCACATTACAAAAGAGCCGTAAATTTAACATAAGGGTAACGTAAAATGAAAGTGAAAGGTCCGTAAAATAAAAGCAGAAAAAGAAAAAATCGCACTCTACTCAATCACTACAGCACTCGTAGCACACGGTAAACTCCTTTTAACCAAGAAGAAATTCAAGAGAAATTATGTCGGCAAATAATGGTTATGTTACATAGCGGTCTACCGCACAACCGTTATTGCAATGACATTTTTTTAATTTAAAACAAGAAAACTACGTATAAATTCAACGATTTAATACACCTAATTTATAAGTTTATAAGAAAATATCTAGTAAAAAATCACCCTTTTAATGTTTTTCGTCTTAAAGTATAGCACTTGAATGGGAAAAAACTATGACAAATCAAAACATTATGAAAACAAAAAGGAACAAAATCGGAAAAGTAAATGCCTCACTCTAAGGGAAGTTCTCGTAACGTATGCCTTTACTTCTGACCTGTGGAAATTGATTAAAAAATTGAACAAAAATAGTCATTTTGATTATTTATTCGGCTACCAAAGGGAATTTGAACAACCATTTATATATTACATTCAAATAAAAAACTAGGCAACTGAACGTAGTTTATTGAAGTAGTTTAATAAAAATTGGGTAGAACATTATAGCACTCATTATATATTATTCGCTTCACTGAGAATTAATAATATGGGATTTATTTTAGTCGGCATCATTGGTAATTAATAGTCATATCTGGAATATACGTTTTATTGTATTTTATGCTTAGCATAACAAAATAATGTATTATAAAATACAGGAATATGAACATTTAGACAACATTAATTTTAGATTTTCAGCGAAATTTTTTGTAAACCGATAGCAGAAAATGTACTAAAGATCAAAAACAAGTTATAAAATAATTCATTTCCGATAGTGATCGCTTTCAAATAAATAGAAAGAAAAAGCAAAAAATCTAAAACATTACACAAGGTTTTTACTCTCTTTGGTGTGTTCTTTCTCAAACAGTGTTAAAATTTTGTAATTATATATAAAAATATATCAAAATTATAACTTTTTGAATTTGTTTACATCAAGAAGCATATTAGGGTTAATCTTTAAAAAGTTTGGTTAAACCAATATCATTTTAAAAATAATGAAAGAAAAATTCATCATTCCTTTAGTCGCAATTTTGCTTCGAAAATCAACGATTACACTGCCTTTAACTTTTCCGACCATGCAGAAAAATATTGGGTCCAAGCTGATAATGCCCGATATAACAGTTTGTGATACACGCCACTATTCTAACACTAACAGATCAATCTCCACTAAACTTAACGAAAAGCGAGCTTGAAGTTAAATGTACATTTTATCTGTGGAGGAGTTTTAGTCTGATTGAATTCTTTCTCTCAGTCTTTTGCTTGATTAGTTTCACTGAAAATATTTATGCAGAGTTTAAGCAACTATTAAATATAACCGCCTTAAATAAACAAATTTGCAAGGCCTGAAACTGCTAATTTTTATCTTCATTCACAGCTAACATGATAGTGTTCTTTTGAAGTTTCCCCACTTCTCTTTTCCGTCGATTTTTGCAAAACAGCAAACGACAAAAAATGTCAATTCACATTGCAACATTTTATTTAGGAATTTGTGAAATTATTAGTAGTTGGGGGGAAAAGTCTCTGTGGTATACTTTAGAAAGAAATACCGTAACATTTCAACGCTGTGTGTATGTGTGTGTATAGTTTTTTTTATTAATTCTATTATATTCGACACAAACTATTTTCAGATTCTGCCAGATTCTCAGACAACTCTGCCGTGTAACTTAAGACAAAAAGGATGATGTGCAAGCATTAAAAATGAACATTTATTGACTGAAGAGAATTCATTTGTTTGATTTTTGTATCGTACTGTAAGATTCAACCCTCTAATAAATGTGAATGGATTTCACACCTCCAACTGAAATATGTTGAGAAGCCGTAAGAAATTAATGACGATCCAACAATGCCCTCGAAGTTGGAACGTCCTTCATCACCCCTCGCTACAAAACTTCAAGCTCTTACCCACATTAACAACCTGTCGTCATACTCAAGTATGCTATTCACGATAAAGATATTACTACGCCCACTTTCGTCGTCGTACTTGTACAGCACACCTATCAAGACATCAACATTGAAAATGTGCAGCTGGTAGTTTTCCAGTTCCGTGTTGACCCAGAACTGTCGCAACATCATCTCTTCCAAATCGTCAGCCAAGATCGTGAGGACAACAGTCGGGCGAGGAATTTCGAAGAACGATTTGATCGTGGCTCGCCCCACCGTCAGATTCACGACCATCGCCAGACAGGGCAAGTTCCGGCTGCACACAGCAGCTACACTTGCACTCGTGGGCAACGTGGCCGGATCTTGCTGGAAAATAAAAAAAAAAACATTAATATTGCGCCGTGATGTGTTATTCAGCAACTCTACCTAAAACATGATTTTTTCCCAAACTCTTTAGCAGACCTTTAACCCCAGATCCCATTATACCGAGTCATGAGTTTAACACGCATCCCACGTCTAAGAGTTTAGCAAATACACGGCGGACACTCCGATATCTGTTAGCGCTGCGCTGGATAGGTGTGGTGAGGTGACCAGACTTGAACGCACAAACAAATCTGTCTCTTTAGGCGGTTCAGTCCGGTAAAACATAACAAATACAGAAGATTTGGAGAAAAATTATGACTGATTTATTAGCAACAACATAACAATTACTTAGCGAAAGCCAACACCGACAGAAATCAGAAATATATCTCGTGAAACATTACCACCAATCTCTTAACAATAATATAAATAATGATTATTATTCCTATTATTACTATTGAATCTGCAAACTATTAAAAATAATAAAAAATTAAATATATTAATTGCTATAGAATTTTTTTATTAATTATTTCCTTAAAATGACCAACTGGACTACGAGTAAAACCTCAAAGTGACCTTTTGCCAAGAATGGTCATGTACTCTTCAGTATAGTGGCTGCACCACGTTGCAGAGTAACAAGGGCAGAATAAGTGCTTTCCCTTTCTGCAACTAAAATTAGCCACATTCCCCCAGCTCAGCTCGAAATCCGAAAGCGCGAGTCCGCTGGGCGCTAAAAGAGGAATGCCCAAGATTGATCACGCATTGCCAAATTGCCAAACCAAGAGGAGTGGTTTTCAGACAAGTGTTGCGGGTTAAGCTAAATACACCTTTAACTACAGACGAGTCTTTTATAATCAAGCGCTCCCACTTGTGGTTTTATACGAATTCAGTTTGTATTTTTTGAAGATAATTGTTGTTACCGTCTTTGGGTTCGAATAAAAAACTAAAACTCGAGCATTTTTTATATCTAGACTGCATGTATTGTAATTCACTGTTTACACGAGTTCATGGACATTTCCACATCGAATTTGTGTCCTTCCATTTTAAGGTCTACAATACAATGACAAAATATTTGACATTCAGTACTTCACTCATTTTTTGTTTCAAAGTTTCTTTAAGAATACAGGTCAAATTGCTTTGTTGAACATCCGTGAAAAGATTTAGTTAAATAATAATACAAGAAAACGTAATCGTAATGTCTCGATTACCGACTGTCTATACTTTGTCCTTTTGTAGACCTAATGATGGAAGGCTATTGATCATCGGAATCGTTGTAGAGACTGGCAATAAAGAGAGGAGGTTTATTTTCAATTCAGTATGTAGTGGTATTTAACTAGAATTTTTTTAAAGGAGGTTGCTAGCAATGTTTGTTGGATAAACACACGTGTACAGCAAGTGATGAGTAGAAGTGTAAATTTATGTCGGATAGATTGTATGTATGGTGTCGGATATATTAGTATGTACTCTACTTCTGACGACCGGTTTTTCCCCCTTCAGTGGTTTTTTCCTGAGCCGTACCTTATGGTCTCTTTTCCGCGGCTTTGATGCGAAGGAGAGACCATTTGGGTTGAATACCAGAATTCGAAAGATTAGAACGCGAAAGATGTCGGTATTGTAATGGCTTGATGGCCTTCGGCCTAGCCACATAGGATCAAGTAAGCTAATTTGTTTGTAATAATTATCTATTAAATAAAATAAATATAAGTGTAAATTTTGGTATTACGCAGACCAGAGCTTCATTAGCTGTTAACTTCCAAATAAGAAGAAAATGGTCAAGTGGAGATACACCGGCGCACTCAGTAAATCGAAAGAAACATTAAACGATCAACGATAAAGCAAGGTAGTTAGATTATGTTAAGAAGATGACTTATCGCGAACCCGCTGGCGCTAATTACAGTAAAGCCAGCGCTATCTATCGGATTAAGAACTAACAATTTGATCTGTAGCTATGAATTCCAGCTAATGCCGCTCAAATTATTAGTTCTTACTCTGACCAATAACGCTGCCCTTCACTGTGTGGTGGAGTTCCTAGATTCAGATAGAAGAGTAACCACCGTTATATAACCTCTCACCAGACAACCCGTCATGCACGGGACCTGATTGGGAATTATAAGCATTTGTAACATTAAAGATTTTTTAAAAGATTATTAATATAGGTTTGGAGTATATTGATAGTTCTCAACATATGCAATTCTACACAGTTCCAATTTTCCTGACAACTGGACATAAAATGGTGTGATCGGTGGAACAATGGAATGCGATATACTCTGTATCTAGGGACTCTGATGTAATTTGGAGACCCTAGATACAAGGACTTTGGCTTGCTTACAACGAACTATAGTTCGAAGAAGGGAAAATCATCCCACAGGAAATAGAAACAAAACCAAAAACATCACGAAAACTAATGTACGTAAAATGGAAAAAGATAACGAAAGCTCACGTTTGATAAAAACTTCAATGAAAGAATAACCCAACAAGAGGGAAACCATTCTCAACCTTCTATTGGAACCACGCGGCTCGATTAATGATCTTAAGCAAGACAAATATTCTGAAAAATGAACTAAGAGCTTGTGTCACTGAGGATGGAACTCTAAAAACGCATCATGAGATACATGAGAAATCACGAAATAAAGAAATAGAGTAAAAAATTACGTGAGGTAATATTGAAAAACAGTTATTAGAGAAAAACACAACAAAAGCGAAGCTGCTAACACAGAAAAAGGAGAGTAAGGATACAGGATAAGATTCGGCCGGCCGTCGGCGTCCAATGCTAGCGCAAAAACCGTTCAGTCGTCATTCTCGAAAAATTATATTCTTTCATCCTTCTCAACGAACGCAAGGCTATGGGAGTTTCAAACGGATGTTTTGATTTTTGACGGTCTCTACATCGAGCCTCAACATGTCCAAGATTTATCAGGAAAAGTACTTGTCTTTCCATACGTCGTCTTCTCAGCAGTTCCTGAATCGCAGGCACAACACCTAAATCTTTTTCGATGTATAATCTACTCAGCGTGGCACAGCTCCAAATATCAAAATCATGATTAAGATCCAGTTTGTCAGAATAATCTTCTATACATATAGACAAAATGTAATAGCTATCCAATATTTATGTCACGAGTATCGTAATATGATATATTACAATAGGAAATTAGAGACATCAAATGAGACTTGAGCCGAAAATGATATCTCCTCGAATATTGTAATATGATGTTACCATTTGAGTATCGTAGAACATTAAACGTAATCTGTCAAAATTCAACTGAAGTGAAAAATTCAAGAATATTTTTTGTTTAAATTTGACTTTTCGTTCTGCGAAAGGTTACATCTGATTATACTCACTTTGATCCTATTTCTGCCATGGGTTTGTTCCAATATTATTTGCATTATACACATTTATTTTATATTAATGAGACATGGATTTTTGTATCATAACTTATTACGACACTGATCGCGGTTTTGTAAAATTTGATTTCAGATAATCAAAAAGAATGACTCTTATACACATGTAAATAACGTTTATCTTAAACTACGAGCTATTTAGACTGTGTAATGTTGCTAGTGCTGCTTCAATAGCACATCTTTCACGCCTTATGTTCAACTGCTAAGCAAAATAAAATTCTACGTGGACGTGCAAAAAAAATATTTCAGCAGATGAAATTTTCTCCATGCTGGAATTCGAACTCTGGTCCTTTGAGTTTACCCTACACAACTATCTATACAGATAAACTTATTCCCGACTCCGAAAGAAAGTTGAAAATTTGCATTTGCAGTTTTTAAAAATGCATAGTGTTTTACTTATATTAATTCAAGATCTAGTTTTAAAAGTAGATTTCATTATGGAAATAATTTCTATTGTCAGTACTGTATTTCGACAATGTTATTTTCGTTTTAAAATTTCAAAACTGCAGATCGTTAGCCGAAAATTATGCCTGCGCAAATTCAAGGAATTTCTAGAACCGTTCTTTGTACAAATTAAGCGTATTTTAAATGATTGCGAACAATTAATGTGCCTAATTTGCATGTGTGGGCCGAGGAAAATTCTCATGTTGCACATTGCATACCTCACCAAAAGTGATTCTCTGGCATTGTGTAGGTTGGCATTGTGGATGACTATCATCGATACTCACTACTTATCCGACTGTTTGAGAAGCGTTCCGTATCTGAACTTCATAAATATCGTATCCCCTACTCTTCTTGTGGACGTCCGTTGACTGCGCGGGCACAGTAACGGCATGATTGCGCAGACCTACATAATCATCACGGCGTTCGAGAATTCCTTGATATGCAATTCTCAACAGGTGGATCAGATGAAGACGCCCAATAGTATGGCCACCTCAGTCTCAGATTTGAATTCGCTGGACGCCTTTTCTTGGGGTTAATGAAAGAGCTCGTTTATTCTACGGAAGTCGTGAATCGTGATGGCCTTCCGCGCAATGAAAGCATTGCGGAAGAAATTAAGGGACAACCAGGAATAGCCCTGCGCGTCCCGGGAGTCGTGTGGCACAGATGCCTATAGTGCGTTCACACAAGAGAAAAGCTTTTTGAACATTCGCAGAACATTTGTAGAAATTTTGGTTGTATACGCAGATAAAGTATCCTCAATAACTATTTTTCTTTCCCCTTTCGTAACAATAGCAACTGGGAACAATATTTTATATATAATATTTGGGCTACCTTTATGCAAAAATGACGAATAAGAATTTTTTTGCAGAATTTTTAATAAGGTTCACATGATGTTCTTTTATACACATAAATAACTTAGTATGGGGGAAACAGATATACGTAGAGGCAAAGCATGTTGTCAAGGAATCCAAGAGAAATTTCTGATTGCCAGTTTCTCTACACTTCTATTGTCATATGTGTTCATTGGAGAAAATTTTGTATAGCGAGCCGTTTCCGGGATTTTATCGGAGTTTAATAAATGTCACACACAAAAAGTATTGCTGCATTTCTCTTACACATTCTTTGTAATAAATATTTCTATACGTATACTTCGGCGTATAATT